GTGTGTGTGTGTGTGTGTGTGTAGTGTGTGTGGTGTGTGTGTGTGTGTGGTGTGTGTGTGTGTGTGTGTGTGTGTGTGTAGAATTTGGCACCCTGTTTACACTGCAGATTGCTAAAAGTGCAAATCTGTTTCCCCAGTACAGTGTTGCCATGAACACATGGATGATCTTTTGACCTTAATCTGACTCACACATGTCCTACATAGAAAGAGGATGTTGAGAAAATGATCTACAGTTTACACTCAAAAACATTAAAAAACAATCCACAAGTCATAAAAGAGGGGAAAAAACAACAATTAAATAAATCAATTCTTTATATTTTTATAAGTTATCATCTTTTAACCCATTCCTTGTAATGTGTTAAGTTATTGCTTCTCTTAATGACAATAAATAAGGTTCTCTATTTTCTATTTCTTCTGGTGCTTTTCAATGAAGTAGGATACGTTTTGTAGTTATTTAGAGAAATAGTATTTTCTAGATATTTCCAAGAAGTCACCTAAAATTGTTTCCTCTGTTCTCAGGGTGAAGCGCGTGAGGGAAAAGTATGAGACTGAGCTGAGGGAGCTGGAGCGCTCTGAGAGGGCGGCAATGGAGAAACAGCAAGAGTTGAGGAAGCATCAGATGGAGGCGGAGGGAGAGCTGATCAGACTGCAGGGCGCGCTCAGACAGAAGGGACAGGAGACAGAAGACGTCACACAGGTAAGGGACAAATCCCTCTTCTTAATGGTTTATAAAACCCTCTAGTTCCATGTTATTACCTTTCATGTTAGCAGCTTGTGGTATGAGTGAGAAAGATTCCATATAAAATGACTCCTGAACGTGTTTGTTCAGACCCGGGATAAGCTGGTGGAGGAGCGCCGCAGCCTGGCCGAGGTGATCAGGCAGGAGTTTGCAGAGCGGCTGGTGGTGACGGAGGAGGAGAACCGCAGGATGAAGGTGGAGGTGTCAGAGGTGCGAGCTCGGCTACGGCTAGAGGTGGAGAGAGTCACCAGGGAGAAGGAGGAGGAGCTGGCAGAAGTCCACCAACGGTAAGGTGGAGGGGAAGAGTACCATAATAACATTTTGGCTTGAATAAATCGTTTTATTCAGTTTTGAATAACATCTTTTAAGATTGAAACCACTGTGCTTTATAAGAGCCTGCTAGGTAAAATGACATGTACAAATCTATTCAAATGTCTAATCCTGGTAATGTGTCACCATGTGACAGAATGAGGCTCATAGATGTGTTTTCAAACGTTTTTGGGTCAAAAACGACACAGAGAAGGGGATTTATAAAAACAAAACAAAAACAACGTACAAACAACGTGCAACATTTGGTATACAGCCTCTGCCATTTATAAATGCAAAATAAATGAGCTAAAGTGGTCCTTTTTTTCTTAGCAGTATATTGGTCATAACTCTAATGATATTTTAAATATTGGTAGACATTTTCTGTTTTGAAATAAGCCACCATAGCATTAGGAGTTGACCCAAAAACGTCAACCTCAATAACCTTAATGTTATTTAACATATTTGGTTCACAAGCTGGGGGGAAAGTATTTGCATATTTATTGCGAACCTAATTCTCTCTTTAAGTTTCCCTTGTTAACGTCCTCTTTTCTGCGACTTGCCAGAGTGAAGTCGGCCATCTTGAAGAAGGAAGAAACTGTCAATAATCTCCGAAAGCAGCACGAGGTGAGTCAACCAACGACACACAGGCGCCTCTTTCTGTCAGAGCATGATAAATAAGAGAAGACGGTTGTGCAGAGATGACTGACAGCATGTATAAATATATGGCTCTCTCCTCTGAAAGGCTGCCCTGAAGAGAGCGGATCACCTGGAGGCCCTGTGGGAGCAGCAGAGGAAGCAGCTGCTGGAGAAGTGACTGACAGGAGGGCTTCTTCTGTCTGGACCTCTCCCCCCCCCCCCTGCTCTGAGCTCTATCCTTTGTGTCGCACGAGACCTCACCTGATTTTTTTTTATTCACTTGGATGTTGTTCCTGCCAGCAAGACTGAACCTGTGGAACTACAGGAGGTGGAACAAGTGGCTGAACAAGTGGCTGAACCCTGTCCTACCTCATACAGAATAGGGAAATGAACTGGGCCTCAATGTATAGCCCCGCCTCTCCAGGCATGAAGGAATGTGTTGTGTTGGAGCATCCCTAATTGAAATGCCACAAACCAGGTGACACCTGATGAATAGAAATGAATACACTATGGTTGGACTTCGCTTTCCTCTTCTTCCCTTTTTCAAAAGGCAGATTGCTGCAGCTTTTTGTGACTGTACTTCCCCCCCCCCCCTTTCCCCCTCCCTCTTGAGCAGGAATGCTTCAATGTTCCCCACAGGGCTGCCACATAGAACAGTTCCAGATGTTTGTGAAACCAGCCCGGGCCTGTGCTGGTGTAAAGTGGGAGATGGACCACTTCAAACAAACCATTGGGCATCAGAGCGGCTGTATGAGCTCCTGTTTGTACTCATGCAGAGTCATGCGTTTTGTCCCAGTGCCCCCTCAAGGCGAGTGCTAATTACAGGATCTATAACATGGCCCCACTCTGAACAGTTTGTTATGTGTGTCTCAAACCAAAGGTAGGGTCTAACCAAGACGTACGAAGTGATTTACTAACACTGGTTAGAGTGCGAGTAGAATGTTGCGAGAGGGATGAGTATGTTACTAAAAGGAAAGAAAAAGGACACGGCATGATTGAGGCGGAAGACGGATGATATTTAGAGAACGTTTCTGAATGTGGGGGAGAAGGAAGAGGAGAGAGGATCGGGGGTGCAGGGAAGAAGGAATGCACAGAGAAGATGTTTATAGGATTAGGAGAGCAGAGCTGGGCGGGTGGTAGGAGGGTTTGAGGGGGCACAAGGCATGTGACCAGAGGTATGTTAAAAGCCATATAGCTTTCGCCCGCTCCGATCCAGAGGCTGCACTGTGACAAAACGCATCAAACTCAACCGGCAAGAGGGGGGCCTCGAGTCACACACACGTAAACTATCTGCGTTTTGGATACTCTGTTTCGTAATCCTCTCAGGAGACACCTCCCCTCAGCACTTGCAAATCTGCATTTTAGTAATTTAGTTTTTTTCTAATTCCTTAACCCTTACAATGCTTAGGGTTGAAGCCAGGCACAAAAAGTCTTTGTGGATACGATTTCAGCGAGAACGGTCCAAAGCATGAGTTAGCGAGGGGTGGGGGGGCTGAAACAGGAGTTTGTCCTGCAGAGAGAAACTACAGCAGGAAGTAAAGCCTGTTAGGTGCAACATGATGTGATTGTTGAGGCCCAAAATTAGACCCTCACATCAGAAAATATTTATTCTGTTCCTTTTTTCTTTCTTTCTTTTCCAAGTCAGCACTGTTAATGACCTCGTGTAGTGTTATGGGTCCTCAGAAAGGTCAAGGATTTGAAGTTTTTTTTTTTTTTCAAAGCTAGTCGACACAATAAGTGTTTTTACAGTTACTTAGCAGAACTGCTAACTGCCGTGCTAAAACGTTATAACTATGCCATTAGTAGATGGTTTAAATACAGTATGTCCGGTTTTTCTGACATGGAAGTTGTCCGAGCCACAATGTAAAGGGTTCATATGAAGTGTAATGTAGTGGAAGGGTAGCAGTAACGTAGTGCAGCTTTATGGGAATGTAGTTTCTGACCTGAGGCGTCATATCAGATTGTCACAAGAGCCAAATACCACTTTCAACCCTCCTAAATGTAGGAGAATGTCAAATAAATATACGTTTTTATATAAATATATCTTTTCGCAAGATAAAAGTGGTTGATATGTGTCACTGTGAGTTTCAGGATCACTTACTGAGGAATTGTTTGTTGGCATTCCTCACGCTCTACCGTCCTACAAGTGCTTATAAGCCTTGCCGTGTGTGTGTGTGTGTGTGTGTGTGCCACCACTCCTCCCATTTTGACCAGAGATGTACCATTTTTTTTAACTTATTTCTTTTATTTGTAACTTTGTATACAAACCATTCCAGCTGTCATCGGTTATAGCTTGTTGAATTTCTACATGTACCAGTATCTCTTGACCTCACTGTTTTCCTATCTTGTTTTAGTTTAGTTTTTATTGTTAATCATGGCGATGGTTCGAACAACTGTGAAGAAGATGGTGACTGAAGAGAGAATAAAAAGCAAAGACTGCTGGGAAGACGCGCTGTGTTTCTCATTTGTGTTCGCTGTGTGAAAACAGACAATTGTTTGCTTGTTTCTGACCCCCGCCCTCCCATCATCCCTTGCTCTCTCAGACCATAACTCACGGGTTAATCACAACTATCCACCAACACCCTGCGGAATCCAAACCAAGAGCCAAAATAGCTGTTGGTTTGGAGCCTCAAATGATTTATTCACTGCATTTCAATGAATTCCTGAAATATCTGTCAACCAATTCTTATAAATGAGTTTAAGGCACGTCCTAGAGGCCTTTTTCTTGCCATGTTAAAACCACCTCAGGGATGTTTCAGCCTATACATCTGGAATAATGCCCAGCGCTGACCCACTTCTCCCCTCCTTCTTCCCCTTCTCTTTTTTCTCGCCCTCCAGCTAGCTCACTTCCTCCAAAACTGCCAAAGCAACCGGTGGTGCGTACTGAAACGTGTCTCTCCTTTCAGAGTATTTCCTTTCTTTTCACTCAGGAACCCACACCATTGACTCTCACTTGGCTCCGAGGGCCCCGGCTGACTGCTGGCTGGAGTGAATGTAACTGTGGATGTGCAGAGAGTCTGTCAGCTGTGTGGTGGAAATTCAGCCTGCATGTTCCTGCTTGTCACCTGACAGTTCCTCTGAGTTATGAATGTGTGTGTGAGTGTGTGTGTCCCCCTCTTGTCCTGTGATCCAGGGTCTCCCGCATAGCAGAGATCCTTAGAGCAGTCTGCTCATGTCTGACTTTATTGCAGCCTAGAGTGGGTTTTTCTTTCTCCAGCCCTCCCCTCTCATGCTGTGGAGTTGAGGGGGTTGACCAATTACCAGCAGCTGTTGCTCATTTCACAATGGTCCCGCCCATACAGTGCTGAGGCTGGCAGTGAGACGCTCCTCACCAGAGGAGAGGCAGAGCTCCTAACTTAGAGGAATACATGACCATGCGAGAAACACTGAGACTACAGACAACAGAGGATTTTCTACCGGTAAGAGAATGTGTCTTACTTGATCTGTCTGTTTTCTATCTGAATGGCTTTGTTTATGTTAGACGGGAACATGGTGACTCGAGAGGAGTCCTCTGACTAAAGGAAGACTCATGATTTGTCACAGTCTGATGCTGTATGCTTCCTTTCCTGTCTTTTATTTAGCTTGGACTCCTTCTCAGCCACTTTAGAGACTTGTACGCCATTCATCTAGTAGAAATCTGCTACAACTGTATTTTATGTGTGGGAAATATGAATTCCCCCTGGAGTTCTTTTCTTTTATTGTGTCTGTTATCAGATATGGCAGCTGAGTTTATCACTGGAACTCTACAACACATTCTTTCCATTCCCCATGTACCCTCAGCCAGGAGTCCCACAAGCCTGGGAAACTGTACCACTCACATTGTCATCAGCGCTGTTATTATTTCCCTGACCCACTTATCAAGCGATTACTCTGAAGGACTTAAGAAAAGCAGCTCGAGACTTAGTTTAGATATTTCTCACAGAATGGCCCTGGGCTTTGTTTATTACACTTACAAAGAGGTGAGAAGTGGAGAATAAGGTGGTGCTCGGGGGTCTATGCTAATATGCTTGAATATCTGCTGGGACCTCCAGAGGCATACATTTGCAGGGAGAGCGAAAAAAAGACGTTTTCTGTTAGATAGATCTTCCTGCATTTGTTGTCAACTGCAACTTTTTTATCAGCTTGTGTCCAACATGTTTCCTGTTTTAAATGCTGCTTGGGTGTGTTTCTTTTCAGTATCTGGTTGAGTGTAAGTATGTTTTCACGTAGGCTATAAAGGATTTACTTCGAAGGGGGTTGAACACGTTGCAATGTCATGTTTAGTGTCTGCTTCCTTGCATTTTGTTTCAATGTATGTCCTTGGTGATCTTACAAGAAACATGTCAGACTTGATCTGACAATAAGTATTTGGTTCATGACATAAACACAGTAGGGGGTAATGAAATACAAAAATAAGACATAAGTCAAGAAGTCACACTTCAAGAACCGCAAGAGCAGGAAGGAGATAAATGAAAGCAGCATGTAAAAAAATATAAGATTGAGACTCTTCACTATGTTTTCAAAGGTTTCATTAAAAAGGGATTACTTCTGTTGACGATAAAGTCCCCCCTTCCATCCTGACTCCCCCCCCCCCCCCCACGAGTTGTTGCCCTTGTTTCAACTCTCTCTTTCTGTCTCCCTCACACTGTAGTTTTGCTATTGTGAGCGAATTAAATCCATCACCCTCCAACTCCTGGAAGATCAAAAGTCCTGAGCACAAGACACCAGGCTTCTCCTCCTCCATCCTCATGTCCCTCCAGGAGAGGAGGGCAAGGCACACACACACAGCCCCCCGGCCGAGGACACACACTACCTGACACGGATGGCTTTCAAGAGGAAGCTGCTGCTCGGGTTTGTTACCGCGGGCTCTCTGCTGTGCGTCTACATTCTGTGTTTGAACCTGTCCAGCGCCACAGGGCCTCTGAAAACATTCCATCGCTTCACACACAAACATAACGGGTGAGCAAAGTGACCACACTCACACTGATTTGTAAACGAGCTGAAAGTGGAAGTGACAGGTTTCTATTGTTCTGGCAGTTTGACATATTGTACGGGAAATTAAAATGCTGATTCCAAGGCATTACTGGTCACTTCAGTCAGTTCAGCTGATCACGTGTTTAACCTGCTAAAGGCTAAAAGAAAGAAACACCCCCCCCCTCACACATACAGGAAATGAAACTGGCTGAAATGTAGTGACCTGCAGTCTTCAGAAAAGCATTTACTGCAAATGATCTGAGACAGATTAAAAAGGAAGGCAAAATTAAAAGAGCAGAAGTCAATATTTATAGTCCTCGGTATGAGTCCAGCTCAGAAAACACTTCCCATAGTGCTTTGTGATTCATTATTTTAAAAATAAGGGTTGAATTACCTACTCTGTTTATCTGATTTAGAATCAGCATTCTCAAATGAAACTTGAGTGTTTACACGAGGGGTCAAATGACCCCATTTGGCGGTTCTAGGTATACATGCTCATATATTTTTTTCATCCCCCACCCTCCAAAATGCAGTCGATGACTAATATACCCATTTTGGGAAAAGTCACGAAGTTTGAGATGTGTGGGTTTTAACGCAGGGGGGTAAAAATGACCCCCTTGGCAGTTCTAGTGTTAAAGCTAAGGGTGGGTAGTCTTCAGAACTTTGCTATGTTATATTTTGGTCAGTATGGAAGATTTTGAAACTATCCAACAGAAAAAGATATGTTTCGAGAAATGGGCTGTTTTTTGGAGATTACCCAACCAGCTTTAAAACATTCCTTTTTCTCTGACAACAATTCATAGAAATGTACACATTTGTGTCATCGTCAGCCCTCACAGAGATATCATTTTTGAAACATGTAATTTGTTAATTTTCATCTTCCTTATAGTAGGACTTCACAAAAAAACGATTTAAAACTCAGTTAATTGGGTTAATTTTTGTAATTGCTTCAGTTAGTCATAACAGATCAAACTGTTCAGATTCATTTTTACAATAAATCGATAAATGGTGCGCTTCTGCAAATAATAAACATAATTAATACATTTAAACAAACTACTAAAAGTAGACTACATTATTCAAAATTAACTCTGGATAATAACACGCGAATAATCCTCCCCCTCTTCTGACAGCCCGTCTGTCAGTCTGTCAGTCTGTCAGTCTGTCAAGCAGCTCGCTGAACCAGTATTGAGTGACCCGACCCTCCTCCTCCTGCTGCCTTGATATTATTCCAACAGGATTTTTCAAAGATGTTTTTCCTTGCATGGCCTCAGATCTACTTCATATAGTAAACACATCTCTTCACTCAGGTATTTTTCCAGAGGCCCTGAAAACTGCAGTCATTAAACCGCTCTTAAAAAAGAATAATCTAGATGCTTCAGTAATGAACAATTACAGGCCAATATCAAACCTGCCATTTCTAGGTAAAATCATTGAAAAAGTAGTTTTTCAACAGTTGAGTAACTTCTTGCATTTAAATAACTCTTTGGATGTGTTCCAGTCAGGATTTCGTCCAAACCACAGCACTGAGACTGCTCTTGTAAAGGTCTTCAATGACATCCACTTAAACACAGACAGTGGCAGAACTTCAGTGTTAGTATTATTAGATCTCAGTGCTGCGTTTGACCCTGTTGACCACAATATATTACTAGATCGACTGGAAAACTGGGTGGGACTTTCGGAAACAGTTCTAAATTGGTTTGAATCCTACTTAAAGGACAGAAACAACTTTGTTTCTATAGGTAAATACACATCTGAGTTGACAAATATGACATGTGGGGTACCTCAAGGCTCCATCTTGGGGCCTCTTCTCTTTAACGTCTACATGCTACCACTGGCTCAGATAATGAAAAACAACTAAATAAGTTACCATAGCTATGCGGATGACACACAAAAATTCTTTTTGGAGCCAAGGCAGAACGTATAAAAGTTAGCGCTGAGCTTCAGTCTGCAATGTTCAAAACAACAGATGAAGCCAGAAATCTAGGTGTAGTCATGGACTCTGACCTGAGTTTCAACAGTCACATTAAAACAGTTACTAAATCAGCCTACTATCACCTAAAGAACATAGGATTAAAAGACTAATGTCACAGCAGGATTTGGAAAAACTTGTCCATGCTTTTATCTTCAGTAGACTGGACTACTGTAATGGTGTCTTTACAGGTCTCACTAAAACATCTATTAGAAAGCTGCAGCTAATTCAGAACGCCGCTGCTCGAGTCCTCACTAACACTAAGAAAGTGGATCACATCACTCCTGTTCTGAAGTCCTTACACTGGCTTCCTGTGTGTCAAAGAATAGATTTCAAAATATTGTTGCTGGTTTATAAAGCTTTGAATGGTTTAGGCCCAAAATACATTTCTGACCTACTCCCAAATTATGAACCATTCAGATCTCTCAGGTCATCAGGGACAGGTCTGCTTTCTGTCCCCAGAGTCAGAACTAAACATGGAGAAGCAGCATTCAGTTATTATGCTCCAAATATCTGGAACAAACTCCCAGAAACCTGCAGGTCCGCTGCAACTCTGACTACTTTTAAATCCAGGCTGAAAACTTTTCTTTTTGCCGCTGCTTTTAATTGAACTATTCACATCTTAAACTGCACTGTAACTTTTATCCATGTATTTTTTCTTTTAATGTTTATTTTATTATCTTTTCTTTTAATGACTGATTTTAAATGCCATTTTCTTAATGTCTTCCATTTTTGTAAAGCACTTTGAATTGCCTTGTGTTGAAAGGTGCTATATAAATAAACTTGCCTTGCCTTGCCTTGCCTTGCCTTGACAGTAAACAATACACATACCTATAACTAGTTTAGCTAGTTCCAGAGGTAGATTAGATTGGTATATCTGACAGGTCTAACTTGAAATGTGTGATTGCGCTCACCGAGAAGAAATGGGCATTTTTTTTGGAGATTATCCAACCAGTTAATTTTCGAGATGACTCAACCAGCTTTAACATTTTCCTTTTTCTCTTTCAAAATGTAAACAATACATATACATTTACACATTTGTTAAAACAAATTTAAACTCTAAAATTTGAATGCGCTTCATGCGGGTTGTGTAGGTATGGTAGGATCAAAATGTTATTAAAATAATCCCCCCCACACATACATATATATTTTGTGTGAAAGTTATTAGTTTATGTTGATCACAATTTCGGCAGGCATAAAGGGGGGAAACACTCGGGGAGGATATTTTATTTATTTGAATTGCATTTTAAGAAAAAAAGACAATGTTGATAATGAACCTAAATGATTTGTAAAAAAGCTAGTTATTATTTATCCTAAATCTAATGGGTAAAGGTATTCGGGCAAGGTATAAGGGGAGGAAATGATAGAACCATCTCACTCCGTTTAGGTTCCATATGTTGTTTCTAAATCAGAGACACATGAGGAGATGTGGCAGTTTAATCAGCATTCAGCTGAGAAAAGGGACGAGGTTGAAGGGTTAAACCTTTAGATCGTGGTATAAAAGGTTCCATGGTTTTTCTGTAACCAGCACTTATTCCCCCCTCTAGTTGTATCATTGTGGTTTTAACAAAGGAGCCACACAGCACTCGGCTGCACTAATGGAGGTAGTCTCTTACACGCGTATGTGAAATGTATGCGTTGTTATAATGGGCAGCGCTCCAGGTTTAAAAGCCAGCAGGTCCAGATAAAATACATGAACTCAGGGGAGAGACATGAGAAAGATGGCTGTTTCTAAAAGGTCTGTTACAGAAACTAAATGCTAAGTTTGGGCATGCAGAGCTCGCAGGTCTTTCATTTAGAAAGCTGTTCTTTCATTTGAATGCCTGGGTAAAAATAAGGTTGTGAGTGTCCTCCTCACTTCCCCTGCTCTGGGGCTTTTTTGATATACTACACCTCAATTTTATTTTACTGGACTGTGGGGCCCTTTTGCATTTAAAGATAAAATATATATTTTTAAATAAAAATAAATAAATCAAGTAAATAAACTTAAGCTATGTTATTATTCTTTTTCTTAAATATTTAAAGAAAAGTCATTTTCTTTTCACAAATATCTCTCAAAATAATAAAATGTAAAATAAGGAAAAATAAAATCACTATTTCTTTCTTTTTTACGCTGCATCCCTCAAAAATATTTAACTTAGATTTTATACATTGTATACAAATAATAGGAGGAATTAAACTTAAGCCATGTCATTATTATTATTATATATTTTTGAATAGTGTTTTTTGTTTCAATTATCTATCAAAATAATTTAAAAAAATCATTACTTTCTCTTTTACGCTATATTTACAAACTTATTACAGGTGAAATATAAATGACAAACAAGCTGCGTCCTGAATGACATCCTGCCCACTCTGTAGTTAACCTTTGATATTTGTTTAACATGAAGTAGGCCTAATTGTGTTCTAGTTACACTTTAAATGCAGTGTCCGTATCTCATTCCCCGGCTTTACTTACTGCTCGGCGTGACATCCGCAGCATGTGGTGTGTCAGTTCAATAACAGCTGTAGAACCAGATAAGCGCTATCAGGGTTCGAGTTATAAACTGAGCTCTATGGGGGTCTTTAAAACTAACGCACACACACACACACACACACACACACAGCAGAAGCAGGCCTCTACTTGCTACAAACTTAAATATGAAAAGGTTCGACTACGCACACACACATCATCTCGGCTCGCGCAGCACGCTCACAGGCACAGATTGCGCAATAATGTATTGCAGTGCAGGCATATTGTCATTCAAGAGATGCGTTGTTCTTTTGGAAAACATGTTTTTCTTTTAGCCTATTTACCTCGTTAACGTAAATAATACTCATTACATTGACACATGCATTATTTGTGATTCAAATAATGGTTGTTGGTAATGTATTAGCGACCCCCACAGATGTATGATTTCACTGCATCCGTGGGAGCTCAGACCCCTCCTTATGGGAGCTCAGCTCCCATTGGCTCCCACATAACTCGAACCCTGAGCGCCATGGTTACCTGAAGCTAAATCTGGATGTTCTGTCTTGAATTAAAGGATTTATTAGCTTTATTAGCACTGTGTTTTTAGCAGATTTTGACAGTGGAGTCTAACTTTCAACCCTATAACTCAAAGTTCACTTACTAGCTTTTCTTTAGCACCTTTAAGCCCCTTCTTTTTATTTTCCTTTACTCCTTTCCTCATACACAAGTCTCATATACATGTGATGGCAACTAAGCTTTCTCCTTGCCACTGACAAACAGAAACATTTAGTTTAACAGCTCTGGAAAAATGCTTGAAGAAAACTTCAAGTTCATTGAGAATAGTCACACAAATGTAGCCTCCACCCTGCTTCATTATGGTGACATGTTTTCCATGCTATGCAATGTGAGTCATAAAAGTTGAGATCCTCCCATTCTCTCATTACTCATGTAGAAAATGTGTTGGCGCCACAGACACGTCCTGTCAACTGTTGTCAAGCGTAAAATAAATGTGGTTTTGCTCTTGTTATTTATGTTTTTGTTCTTGTGTTTGACAATGATGCTCAAATAGGCTTTCTTGGTTTTCTGGGACATGGATACCACATACTGTATCTGGCTGTTGAATATGAATCTGGAGTGAGAAGCTAGTTAGCTTAGCATATAGCCTGGAAACATGGATACATGTGGCTAACCTGCTTAAGGTTAATGTCCTCCAGCATCTCAAAACTCTCTTTTTGTGTGTTTTATAGAAACAACAAGATATGACATGCTGATTAATGAGCTTTCTAGATTACCTTTTGAAATAGCCAGCCATCTGTTTCATAGTATTCCAGTCTTTATGCTAAGCTAAGCTAACTAGCGGCTGGCTCTAACTTCAAAGTAGAGTGGTATCAATCGCATATTATACTCATCAAGAACACAAATAAGCATGATACTGACAAAGTTGAACTGTTTTTTCAAGAGTGAACCTTATGGGATCATGTTGAGAGAGTGAGAGGGATCAGCTGATTTGCTTCCTGCTGCAACTCACTGCCAAATCCTGTTCTGTCCTCCACAGCAACTTACTAGACTTTGGGGAGCTTCTTGACCAAGAGGGCATCAACGTCCAGTCGACCCCTATCTCCACCTTAGACCGAGAGCTCTCTGTTGAACCCAAACCAGAAGAGAACAGCGTTGTTCCCAATGTCCCAGATGTCCCAAATGTCCCAACTGTCCCAAATGTCCCAACTGTCCCAACTGTCCCAAATGTCCCAGATGTCCCAACTGTCCCAAATGTCCCAGATGTCCCAACTGTCCCAAATGTCCCAAATGTCCCAGAATCCAGTTCTAGGTCTGATGGCGTGGGTAAACCCAGGACCATCAACAAAGCCCCCCCACTGCCCCAGCAGCAGCCCACAAAGGCCCACGGACCCACAGAGCCCTCCTTCATCGGAGACACCTACATGAGTGAAGTCTTCCCACCACAAACGGTAAGTTCCAAATGTGCTGGTATGACCTGTAAGACCTCTAAAAAAAAAACCTGTGAATGTTTATGTGTGAATAAACACCTTCAGATGATTGTAAATTAATAATGTATTTATATCTGTAGATCATAGTGCTTTAGTAACACATGCTTTCATTGTGCTGGATATGTTGTTATCGGATGGGTGCCACAGTTGTCTGTTGTTCTAGTAAATCCTTCATAACAAATCAAACGTTGTCGCCTGAAGCTTGGCTCTGCTTTTTCTTCCTAGTATATTTTTGTACGCAAGATAGATATGACAACTCAAATCTGCCTCAAAATCTTGGGAGTGATCTTAGTGTTCTGCAAGAAAACGCAACATCCCAATATTTTATGGGAATTACCTGCCATGCACACATTGTGATTTTTTTACCAAACTGTTTTCAAAATAAAAAGGAGCAACCCAATTAAGCTGCAGTTTTTTTTTTTTTTTTTTGTAAACTGTTACATAAGTGCACACAGGCTGAATTGTTATTCCATAGAGAAGCAGTGGCGTATAACACAATTACTATACATTAATTGAGGTTTGTAACCTTTTCATGCTACCTTGTCTGTGTGCATGTGGTTGTATATGTATTGCACTGTAATGCCCTTGTAAGTGTCCTAATGAATATGTCTGTGGATAAAAGCTCTTGTGGTTAGCGCTGTTCTTTGGCAGCTGTGTTTTTCCTACATTAATTGCTCCCAGTAGAGTTAGAGTCCGGAGGTTAATCTTGAGGTTGTGCTTTTGGCTTTATATTATGATCATGTGGGATACACTTCTATGTTGCTGCTAATCCATAGAGAGTAGGGATAGTACTGTATGTGTGTTGTTAGATCAAAAGAATTCACAAACGTAATGGATAACAATAATTTTAACTTGGGTTTAATTAAAGGGGACCTATCATGCAAAATGCACTTTTGTACGTCTTTTATACATGAATATGTGTCCCCGGTGTGTCAGGGAACTCACCAAGTGTCAGAAAACACAACCCTCTCTTTTCCTCCATACCCAAATCTCTAAAAACGGGGCTGCAACGGAGCTGATACAGATTTGAATTTTTCTGACGTCAGAAAAGGGGTGCTCCGCCTATATGGGCAACTCTCCACCTATCAGGGGAATGGGGGGTTGGGCCACGGCCACGGCCATTGCCGCTCGAAAGCCCTGGAGACGCTGTAGTACATATGCCAGGCCTGTAAGTGGCGCTGTAGTCTGCCACAAAAGCAGCGAAGAACACTTCTCACAGAATCAGCCCTTGCAAAAACAGGGCTGGAAAAGAGCAAATAGAGCGAAATGAGGCATGGCTAAAATGCATGATCTGTTTGGTATTTTGAAAAAAAAAACTTCACAGACATGTTTTATATAGGTATGGCCCTACAATATATTATTCAAATATAGCATGATAGGTCCACTTTAAAGTATCTACCTTTTTTAATTATGTTAAAGTGTACAATGTTATATAGCAAGCAAGATTGGTATACATCAAATAATATGAATGTAATATTGTTGGTAACATTTTAGAACAAAATATTTTAAAAAACTATAAAATTACAATTTATTGTGAAAAAAGAAAGGAAGTGTATGTGTGTATAAATGGGAAAGAAAACATTGGATAACACAGCAGATATGCTATTTTGGTAGCATTTTTTGACAAAAACTGTGAGTTGGTGTGAAAAGCTATTCCGTATTCGTTTATTTAAATCTGACTTCTTTCAGTGATAACATTTAGGGTGATGAAGATCTAACGATTGACAAATTACGTAAGAATGAACCTGTGATTAGGCTTCCAAATAAGTTTTGAAGTGCCAAGGAATATTCCCTTCACCTGAAAGTATCTTGTAAAAAAACAAAACATGTTTGGTATCTGAAATAAAGGAGCAGATAAGATGTGTGATAATGTTAACAACCAGGCTGTACCTGTTTCCCTCAGGAATGCACAGATAGTATCCAAAGACTGGCCGCCAAAACAGAATTTGGTCGACGGTTTCTGAACGACATTCCAGTCGTGCAGTGGGCCCAACACGTCACTCAGGAAAGCTACCAGCGTCTGAGCAAGTACCCAGGAACACATGGCTGGGGGGGGATCGATTACAAAAGTGAGTTTTTGTTCTTCTATATGTTTTTTTCCCATTAAAGAGGACATTATGCTCATTTTCAGAGTTTGAGGCCCTTGCTTTTTAGTATCTACCACATAAATATTTTGAATGAAGTGCAGTATTTTACAAGAATTGACATGACCTTTTAAAACCTATTTGAGATATCCTGTCAACATGAACTCATGTTATGGATGTGTTGATACAATGCAAATATAATTCAAAAGACATTCGTATTAGACTTGTTGTGTAGAGATCAAAGGTTGAAGGAAGCTGTTTGTTTGCATGCCAAATGTATCCAGAGAAGGCACAAAGTATGTTGGATAATTTGAGGACATATGGGCCTCATCACAGTTAAGATGATTATCATGTTGAGATAATTGCAGCTTCCTGTCTCTGTGCCTACACATGCAGCCTCGGGGGGGTTCTTCCTTTCAGATCAATCACAAATAACTGGATCTGTGGGTGGATGCAATTATATAAGTACAAAAAAAACTGTCGTTCAACAACTGAATCTTTTATTTACGAGTCAAGGATTTAAAAAAAAAGCTGTTAAGACTGTGTTTAATAAATCTCATCGAGATTAACTCTATTTTTCTGTTTCCACAGCGTTGGTGGATACTCTGTCCGTCCTCAACTCTTCTGCTAACTGGCGGATGTTGGATGACTGGAAGGATCGTGGAGATGAATCTGAGTGTATCCGCTGTGCTGTGGTGGGGAATGGTGGGATACTGAAGGATTCAAAGAAAGGGAAGGAGATCGACAGTCACCACTATGTCTTCAGGTACATGTCCTACATTGAGAGTATCCTAACTAGAGCTAAATTCTACCCAACAGTCAATTCCATTGATTTCCATCCATTTTAGATATGGAAATCAATGGATTAATCAAAGGAAGTTTAATTTAATCTGCAGTTCGGTGTATTTAGCGGTCAAAGTCGCTATAATTTACCGTGTTTTATTGTTAAATAAAACTAAAATCTTTATATATCGCCTATGAATATATCAATGATTTTATCTTAATGCACACAATTTGTGTCATTTACTAGCTTAGATTTAGTACAAAGTCCAAAATGTATCTGTTTTAAACCACTTAAACCTAAAATATAAAAAGTGAGTGAAATCCGAGTCTTCAAGTACAAAAAGACTAAAAAATACATACACATATTTTTTAAGAGCATGCCCAAATCAAAAGCATATTTTTCTTCTTATAGCAACTTTAATTTAATAATTATAACATTAGCTTTCCCAAACCCTAAATAGGAACCTCACAGTTGCCTAGTATTTATAATAAAAAAATATAAGTGTATTACCTTTGAAAATTCACAACTAATGAAAGTGAAAGGCAACATTTTTAAAAAGCTGTTAAAAACGAACCAAAAGGGTATTTCATGTAGATTGAAATGTTTCCACCACAGTGTGCAGACCCCACACTCATAATATACAGTCTACTACCACAGCTCTGGTTAGGAAACGTGTCTTAGTCCCACAAGCTGCATCTGAACTGTCAGATAGCTCAGGGTTTATTTCTCAGGTCCTGTCACATGCTGGGTCTCAGCATGTGACAGGACCTCTCACAGGTCCAAAGGGTTGCTCGCTGTAACCCTTTGTCAGGGCTACAGCGAGCAGGATGTATGTTCAGGATGTCTTTATGGATGTTTGCACAGCAACAGATTACTCTGATGACCATCCATTTATCCCACAGCAACAGTCTTTAGTAAATCTACTGTGACTTTCTGTGTTGACTATTACATTTTAGATCGTGGTTGTTTGTTTGCGCTTTTTGTAATAAATGCATTTAAATTGCATTGTCGTTGTAGGCTTCAATGCTAAACAATTAGTAACCTGCATTTTATTATGTAATTGTGGCATTAGCCAAGCTTGTTGAATATTGTCTTCCAGGAGCCTCAGCTATAATAATAATAACAATAGGAGAGAGAGAGAGAGGACATGAGGATTGAGACGAGGATAGGAGAGAGAGAGGTGAGAGAGAGAGAGATGAGCTGATGGAGAGAGAGAGAGAGAGAGAGAGATAGAGAGGAGAGAGGAGAGATCCCCTTCGTCTATCAGAGAGAGCTATATAGGGATTAAGCTAGAGATAGTAGATCTTCTCTCTCCCTTATATCGTCTCTCTCTAAATAGTAAAGATAAATAGAATACAAAGCAAGACCAAGCATACAACTACACAGACCACGACAAAGACAATACACAGCCCAAGAACAAAGACACAGACCACCAAGACAAGCAAAGACAAAGACAAAGACAAAGACAAAGACAAAGAGAAAAAGCACGCGAACTGTTAGCGCCGGTGTTGTGTCAAATGATGCACCCCCGTCGTGAAATGCACCCCCTGGCCTGCCGTAAAAAGCACCCCCCCCCAAAAAAGATGTTTCTATTAATCCCACCCTCAAGCATTTTGGAGGGTAAAGTTGTAGGACTAGTACCAATAAATGGAGCAAGTTTCATGTATGTGACATGTTTATTGTCAGAGATAGCAAGGGGTGCATATCGTGGCAACCAGGCTGTTCAAAAAAGCACCCCCCAAAATAAAAATGTTTCTATTAATCCCACCCTCAAGCACTTGATGTAAAAATAAACAATACATTGTAAAGCACAAGCACAAGTATACAGACAGGACGTCACAATTAAATAAAAACATATATTAAATAAAAAATGAACTGAAAAATAAGTGAGGAATGAATGCAAAATCCAGGATTCGACGACCCAACCATCAAAAAGACAACATAGAATAGCGGACTATACGTTCAAATGCGCGTTCCCGTGTCAAGGGGTGCATTTCACGACGGGGGTGCATAATTTGACACAACACCGGTGTTATGCCGTGTGATGCATGCTCACGGCACCTCGCGGGAGCGCGCCACAGCGTAAAGCAAAAACTCACAGACATATCAATGATTTGTACGCCAAAGTTAGGTTTGGAAACGATATCATTTCCTTTTTGGCGGGCATGCATAACACGGCATAACACCGGAGCCTCGCTGCGTGGAAGCATATTACATATTGTGTTACTCGACTGCCTATGCAGATGGGCCCCCTGTAACAAATACAGTTTTATTTATTGAATTTGTGGACGCTTGTGTTCTTCAGGACCAATGGGGCCATCACTAAGGGCTTTGAGCAGGACGTGGGCTCTCGGACCACCCACTACACCTTCTCCACCAACACAATGATGAACTCCATGAGGGCCTACTCCGGTGCTGGGTATAGAGGCCCCCCTAAGTCTAATGTGAGAAGAAATCCTCCATAAACTGCAAAAATGTCGACATACCACATTCAGGCTTGAGTCACCTCACACTCTGTTCTTCTCCAACAGGAAACCCGATACGTTTTTCTGCCGGACCACGGCCGTGATTACCTGCTGATGAAGGCTGCGGCGACACACACAAAAGTAGAGACAGGACCTGAGCGGAACAAAAAGTAAGCAACACTCTCAGGCTCTCATAATGAGGATGCAGTTTGACTCACAATAATGTCCTTTGTATGTTACTGGTTTTTATTCCTTTAACTGTCCTTTCACTCAAACTGGATAACGCATTGAGCCGCGTGTTCTCAATGACAATATGCACACACCCTAAATCATATGCTGCTTTAACTATTTTGCTTAAAATGGAACCATTATTTACAAAATGAACATTACTGAGGTTATAAAACAAATGACAAGTAGGGTAATTTTCTCATAGACTCTAAAACTGGACACCCTGCTGTATACTGAGAGAATGCAAGTTAGAACGTCTCTGTTCAGTTTCTGAGTTTGCCGCTTGTTTTATAAAGAGCAGCCTCCCTGTGTTAGACAATAAGCTGGTGGTTCGTGCAGTTTGTTTACCCACATAAGATTTTAAACCTCACTGTGCTACGCCCTAATCTCTACAGTTTACATATTCACACCCTATCAAGTGTCGCAACCCTTGTGGCTAGCTAGAGAAAGCTTATGCTAATCATGCTAACCTTAGCATGTGCAGTAAACACTACATTCAGTTTCGATTTGTAATTGGTCTGCACATGGTAAAGATTTATTTGATCTTCTTATGAACTTTTACTCTTTTTAACTAGTGACAGTTTTTATGATTCAGCTTTTTTTTTCTATTAATTTCACATTTAATTCCACAGTCCATCCGACTACTTTGGAGAGGATGTGTCAGCAAAAAAGCTGAAGATATACCATCCTGATTTCGTCCGTTACCTCAGAAACAGGTGAGCGAATTATTCACGGAACAGGTGAGCAGAATGAAAGCAGGGCTCACATTTCAAATAGTTGGAAATTAGATTAAATTAGGTGGGCGGGGGGGGGTTGAAACCAGAGTGAGCCTCTGGCAGAATTTCCCACACAATATCAGAGGGGAAAAAGAGGAAGGTCTATTTATGTGTGAGCAACTTTTAACCACTGATTAATTTGTTTCTTGTTGTCTTTGTTTCAGGTTCCTTCGATCTCATACCATGCAAACCAAATTTAGGAACATATACCGTCCGTCAACGGGGGCTGTGATGCTGTTGGCTGCTCTGCACACCTGCGACCAGGTGGAATTCATACTTTAAGAAATAGTCACTGTCAGTCAGCTGTGTGTTTACTGTAGGGCGAGGCTGCACTTGCCTGAAAGCGTGAGAATTTTTTTACTCTTGACAGTTGGCCTTGCACATCCTGTTATCTCTAATGATATGCTGCTATTGACTCGCCTAGACCACATTTCAGTGCCATCATGGAAAAGTGTCCTTTGTGCAAGCCGTGTCCTTTGTGCAAGCCGTGTTATTTAGGATTGCCCATTCATTTTATTGCATACAAAGCAAATAATCTCTGTCAAACCTATTTTTCAAGCTGTCTTTAGTTTAGTTGACAGGGATGACAGTGAGTCGTGCTTGAATCATGAGATACATTTAATCAGAATAAATCTCTGTTTAGATTTCTAGAAGATAAGATGGCAGAATTTGTTGTCCTGACTGTTTTTTGTGTCTCTTTTGTTGATGAAGGTGAGTGCCTACGGCTTCATGACCCCGGACTTTAAGAAGTACTCGGACCACTACTACGACAGCGTCTACCACTCGGTGGGCTTCTACGCAAACCACGACCTCCGTATGGAACTGTCCCTATGGCAACAGCTGCACCAGGCGGGCCTCATAAAACTCTACATGCGTTAGTGGATTCAGGACGACTTGACATCACGTCTTCCTGTCTGCAGTCTGCAGCTTTGGGAAACAGGAAGTCCCGCCTACCTGGGCTCTAAATGACTTATTCAAGACTCTCTGTACTGAGATGAAAGAAAGAAGAAGAAACAAATGTTATGAAGGAAAACGTTTTTATTTTTAAGTAAAATGCTGTGATGGTTCAGCATGGGGAATTTTAGATATATATTTTTTATTTATAATCATTTTTTCCTCTCCCAAAACATTTTTTTGGGTGATTTGCTCATTAAAACAGGTCCAGACATCAGGGTTAAAATGAGACTACATTTGGTTAAACTGATTTTGAACAATGTTGTTAGTCCACTTTCATTCACACAAATGTTGAATGGATTGCCATCACATGAAATGTTGTTAAAATATATGTTACAATATACCCATCACCCAAATTAAGCAAATCACCAAAACGATGTTTACTAGGCTGAGTTTAAAACGTATTATACAATCAGTCTCTGGCTGGGTTACAGTGGTGTCTGTCACTGTGTGATGCAGCGCAGGGACAAGGGACAGGACTGCAATTGAGTGGGCCACTCGCTTAAAATATCCTGCTCTAAATAGACGTCAGAGCTCTGCTGGCAGTGGCCAACGTCTATTCTGACATTAACTCAGATGATGTTCTCCCTCCGGGTCTGTGTGTGGGGTTTACTGTGGAAGGATACACTGAGAGAATAGAGCTCTAATATTTGAACCTGTAGGTGTATTTACTTTAAGGGACTTAATTTATTTGTTATTGTTCTTACCTTTTTTTTAAGCACACAAGTGCACTGCCACAATAAGAAAACTGTGAGTGCCTTTTCTTTGAATGTGAACCAGCAGTTTGGGTTTAGCATTGTGAATTTCTCAGGCGATTTAGGATGTCTCCACCACAACACAAAGAGGAATGACCGTGGCATTTTCATTCAGTTTGGATTTTATGGGACGGTTGCCGAGGACTCCTTTGGGTTTACTGCTTGTTCGCCGCCACACCTTCTCCGTGGAAATGAAGGGCAAAGTTCCTTTAGATTTAAAGTCCACCCAATGGAGTCATCACACCCTTAAATTAAGAAAAGAAACGAAAGACATCAGCAAATCAGGGAATGTGTGTGTATCTTTGTGTAATATTGAATCTCAACATATTCAGATAAAGTGATCCAGTCATATGATACTGGTTTCTAATTTTACAAAGTGCAACAGGGGCGGGAGAAACCTTTTCTTATGGTGCAATTTCTTGAGGTTTACTTTTTTTAGTCTGTATTAAATCAAACTGTGATTGTATCTCCTACTTTGTGTTTCTTTCTTGGTTAGTCACAGCAACGTACAGGTCCAGGTTTGGATCATTTCCAAAAGAAGGAACATTTGCTCTGGATGTAAATGTGGATTCCTGGAAAGAATTAGAGTGTTCAATTGGCACACTTACATTTCTAATACTAAATAATAATCATTTATTTATTTTTAAATCAATATATTTTTTAAGGGAACCCTACAGTGGCGGGGTGCAAACATCATAGAACAGAACAAAACATTTCCATTAGGAGAAACGGCTGCAGTTTCAAAACGCTGCAAATATAAGAACACAAATGTTCCGAAACACATGCAAATTAGGAAAGATAGTCACCAACTTGACAACAGCATTGCAACCCTTACTGCTGCATAGACCAAAAGCTGCGAATACAAAATACTGCAAATAAATAAATTCTGCAAGACAATCACGATCTGCTGTAACCAACGAGCTAATGTAGCTAACCTAGTCATTTCATATATACTGACAAAACACTTACAATTATGAAACAGACTTACTCTGCGAGAGTGACTTTTAGCCAATCCCCAAACGTCAACAAGCGTTCCATTTGTGTTTATGTATTTACATCGTTTTTGAAAGTGCAGCACATTGGATATTTTTTGGGCCGCTATAGCGCGTTTGCACCAATGGGCCTCCATAGAACTCCTTTTGAGACAAAGATATTCTTATTAAGTCAGTACAACTAACCAAACTGAAATAAATGACTTTCTTCCAAGAAACTCACAAGCAACTATGAGCTTTTGTTGTCCTGACATCCAACAGGAAACAGGAACACAGACGCAGCTAAAGGTCCACACTGTCATTCTCGAAATGAATTTGTGTTCCTGTTCTATGGGTCTGCCTTGGTGGGAATATATACTAAAGCAGCTATGTGCTAACACCTCCTCTATGTGCTAACACCTCCTCTATATTGTTGGGAAGCGAACACATTTAGATTAAGGGTTAATCGTTGCTGATAGCCTTGGACACAGTCAATTATTAAAGAAGACCAACTTTAGACAACTTTTTATAAAATTCTATAAAAAAATGCATATTTTTCAATGATCCAGACAGAAAGCAGAGCATTCTTTAAGCAGGGCCTTTTTGTTTTCCTCTCCTATCTTTATCACCTCTCTTTAGTAAAACGTTACAGTGCAGATGAACTCAGTGACCTCTAATCTATCTTCCCCATGTGAGAGAGCCCTGTGAGGTGTGGGGCCAGATGTGCATGTTGTGATCTGGTCAGGGTGGGGGCCGCATTTAGGGAGTTACCAGAGTCATGAGACAGGCTTTGCAGGGTTGCCAAAATGTCTGGCAGCAAGACGTTACAATTACACACAGTGAAGATGGAGTGCAGCTACCAGCCTGAACACAGGGCCTGTTCCAGAGATATGAACACATTTGGGTATATGGACAGATTAGGGTTCCCCTTCAGTTTCCATCAAAGCAGATGCAAAGCGTTCTCAGGAGCTCACTAACATGCTTTTTGTTCCGCAAGAGATTGTATTTATTAGTTTTTGTAAAATCTTGGGCAATTTGGCTCTTGTCAGGAAATGAGGACTCTTATCCCTCGATGGCAACATGTACTACTGTTATAAACTGCAGCATGAGCGCACATTGTGATTATAGTATGCTCATAACCAGGGGCGTCGCCTGGACCTGGAAACATTCAGGGCTTAGGCGCCGTTTACACGAGGAGAAAACTGCTTGTATCTGCATAGTTTCGCGTGCGTATAGCCCTATTATTTACACGAGGCCGATAGAAACTGACCCCACAAACGATAACGGGTCCCAAGGTGGATAGATTTGCAAACGAAACGCTCTGGGGGGTCAACAGAGTCCGTGTAATCACCTCTATACAATATTTCCTGAAAAAATAACGATAGCCCCACCTTTCCCCGCCTCTCCTGCTCACTGCTGTAGCATGGCTGTGTTAATTAAACGCACAAGGGGTTCTTGAATGAAATAATATTATAAAAGGCAAACCAGAATTGTTAACGCCCAATATACTCCTTAAACAAAATAAACAGAGTCAGATTTCATGCATTGATCCATTATATTGACAAAGGAGGATCTCACCCGGTGTTTGTAGAGAATATCTCTCTGAGCGAGTCCTCTCCACGGAGACATGCTCCTCCTCCTGTCAGTAGCTACTGCTAGTGCTACTGCTACTGACCATGCTACAGATATTAGTGCAAAAATATACAGCTCCTCTACCACAACCATCAGCAACAAGTGGACATGGAGAATTACATGAACTACATGTTGCTAAATCCACGGCGGGGCGTAAACAGAAGGGTAGCCATGGCAACATTGCTGCGGGGCTGCTGCGGAGTCTTCTTCACTGCTTTTGGTGTATTTTGTGGCGGAAGTTACAGCGCCACTTACAGTCCCGGCATATGTACTACAGCGTTTCCAGCGGTCTCGTTTGAACAGACACGTTAAATGAAACAAATGCATGTGAACGGAAGACTTTTTTGAATACGCATACTGTGCATAAACGCAAACGGTCCCGTGTGAGCGGGGTTGCAAAGGGGCGGAACATTTCCGGTAAGTTTCCGGTAAATTTCCGGTAAATTTCCATGGGAAGTTAAGCTGGGGAATTTTGGAAATATTCCATATTGGAACCATGGGAATAATGGGAATTTATGGGAACTAACTGGGAATTGAGGGTAATGTAATCGAATTGTATCATATCCAAGCATAAATATATAAACATTTTGTTTTGTCATAAGAAAACATCCATGCAAAATGATACAATTAAAAAAACATGACATTTCAACAGATTTATTTCTAAGTAGAACAGAACAAGTTTTAACTATTTTATTGAACAATCATTTGTTTCATTGAAGAACAAAAACATGACTGTTGAGTTAAATATACTTCTGTGCATGTGATGGAGGAATGCACAGTGCCTGTAGGGGGTGTGGTCTCAATAGCCATGCAGTAAGCAGTGTGCTATGTGCATGTGATTGAGGAATGGCATGGATATTCAAGTGTACTTGAATGGCATCTGTTTGTTTTATTCAAGATTATGCTAAAATATACTTTCCCCAACTATATTTAAGTTCCCTATGAAGAGCCAACCTTCAATTTAGAAAATTCCCAGTTTATTCCCGTTTATTCCCATGGAAAGTTTCCATCTTTGAAAATTCCCGGAATTTTGCAACCCTAGGCTTAGCCCACAGTGGCGGCGGCCGCGGCGCTACACAGTGGCATTTTCTACTGCAACACTCTCCACACGCACTTACACAGTACACCCGTGACTCTTACAATGAAGGCTCAATAATCAGCTCAGGGCATATAGGTGTGGGGGGCGGACCTAACCTCCTCTAGGGGGGTCCTCACCTGCTCTAGGGGGGTCCGGGGGCATGCTCCCCCGGGAAGATTTGTTTTTAAATATTGAAGTTAAAAGCATCAATCTGGTGCACTTTGAGAGCAACATTAAGAGATATGGATACATCTCTCAACACCCATATGAAACAGAACTGTAAGCAGATTTTCTTTTTCTTATATTTTACAAATCACTCCCCTTTTAAACTGTATTCTTGTTTTACTGTCATATAGTATTTCATAACTGTTTTTCATTTATTCTCTCTGGCTGTCCATCTCATAATGTTCACATAGAAACTAGCTGTCAATAGGAATATCATTCAGAAGAATTATAATTTCATGCAAAAATCTGTCACAAAAAGAGGTTGCACATTTAAATTCAGGTGTTGTTATGGCAACGTCAGTGGCCAAACAGCCACATTTACTGCTGCAAATACGTTCAAACATGCTGTCGACACGTAAAGCAGTGGCAACTATGCCACCATTTCAGCTAACTTTTTCTCAGAAATACTGTCACATAACATCCATATATTTCAGTGCTAGGTTGATGCTTAGCTAAGTTAACTATGAAACACTTTAACTGACAGGACTCAGGATCAACTGTGTACTGTAACGTAGCTTCTAGTTTCATGTCGAACAGTAAGTCAACATTTTCAGCTTTCTTTGAAATCACCAGGTAACGCTAAAAAATATTACATTTAGATTGTATGACAAAGTGTTTATTTAAAGTGGACCTATCATGCTATATTTGAATAATATATTGTAGGGCCATACCTATATAAAACATGTCTGTGAAGTTTTTTTTTCAAAATACCAAACAGATCATGCATTTTAGCCATGCCTCATTTCGCTCTATTTGCTCTTTTCCAGCCCTGTTTTTGCAAGGGCTGATTCTGTGACGTAGCTTTAATGCAAATGAGCTGCAGCTGACCACGCCCCCCTGCAGGAGAGGGGAGCGTGCTCTGAGATCAGCTGCTGGGCTCTCAGAAGAGGGGGAGGAAAAGAGATAGTCCGTCCTCCGTGTTTTATTCTTATATTATTATATAGAGTCGTTATTCATTTGTTTTAAAGCTCAATAAATAACAAAGAAGACCTTTGACCTGCGCCACTTACAGGCCTGGCATATGTACTACAGCGTCTCCAGCGCTTTCGAGCGGCAATGGCCGTGGCCGTGGCCCAATCCCCCATTCCCCTGATAGGTGGAGAGTTGCCCATATAGGCGGAGCTCCCTGTTTCTGACGTCAGAACAATTTCAAATCTGTATCAGCTCCGTTGCAGCCCGGTTTTTAGAGATTTGGGTATGGAGGAAAAGAGAGTGTGTTTTCTGACACTTGGTGAGTTCCCTGACACACCGGGGACACATATTCATGTATAAAAGACGTACAAAAGTGCATTTTGCATGATAGGTCCCCTTTAATATCTCTGGCTAGCTATAGCTACTTGCTAACGGTTTAGCTTGCCCCCGCGATTCAAAGTAACGTCAACGTAGCTGTAATTTATGCTTTGCTTACATGTTCGCATAACTTGGAAGTTTACTGACATTTACATACCTTGTTTACCTGGCTCAAGTGCTGGCTCTGGGGTTGTTGTGTGAGCCACCACTTGAGAATTGTCGTCTTTTTTAAGAAAAAATGTTCTTATGTCCATCTTCAAAAACTCTGAG